GGAGCTACCCTGGAGGTACCATGTACTTATACCTCTTTCCTTGAATTTCGTACCGAGTTTGACAACATTCTGTCCAGTATCTACTTTGAAATGGACATCCTTTAAAGTAAACAGTGGACAACTATCGGGCCTAGTAGTAACAGGCCTTGTTTCATTAACTTGTATTATTTTATGTATTTTATTTTTTGGTACTTGAAACATCTGATGCACTGTTCCTTTTAGTTCTACAATTATTTTGGAAATTATGTTTGAAATGGCTGCAGCTTTAATTTCTGTTACTTCTGCCATAAACCAGCTTAGGCTTAAGTTCCTTTTTTTTTTTTTTTATTAGCACATTTTTTACAAAAGTACTTAAGTTCATATTTTGTTTTGTTATAGCTTTGCTAAAAAGCAAGATTACAGAGTTTTCCATCGTTGGTAGTACTGTAAACTATTAACAGTTACTGGAATTAAGTTGTTTGTGTTTTGGAAAAGATATTGCTCAGAGTAGAGCGTACTTGTGTGAGATCCTGTCTATAAAATCTGCATTCAACACTGCTAAAAACAGAACAGGCTACCCATCTCTGACATTGTTTGGCAACATAGTTTAATGTTTTTGTGCCAGTTGACAGAATAAAATAGTGATTATGAATTTTGACTCCTACCTATTTGATTCCACCTATTTCTCCTCCATTCCAATATAATAATGCATTTACACCAATCAGCCATAACATGACCACTGACAGGTGAAGTGAACAACACTGATTATCTGGCTACAGTGGCACCTGTCAGTGTGTGGGGTATATTAGGCAGCAAATGAACATTCAGTCCTTGAAGCTGAGGTGTTGGAAACTGGAAAAATGGGTAGGGCAAGGATCTGATTAACTCTGACAAGGGCCAAACTGATGGATAGACGACTGGGTCAGAACAAACTGAAGGTTGGATTAAAAATAAAACTTTGAAATGGGAAGTGTAAAAGACTGTCTTGGAGGTTTGAGCCTCTATCTAGTGTGCACATTTAAACACAGTTCCAATTTGGATTAAATTATTTATTTCTGATGAAATACAGGAGGGAGTAGCATTGCAGACAACAAGTGGGTTTTGGGGTTGTGGAAGAGGGGATAGGTGGGTGAGTGGATGATTTTTCTAAACCAAAGAATAATATAATTAGACAATGACATGCATACAATAATACTAACTTAGGAAAGTAACCTTACTTCTACATGCATCCACCAATACAAAGGAAAGCGCTGCTCTATGACAAGAACTAAGAAACAAACATTGATAAACAATAATGAGCAGGGATAGTGGTCTACAAACAAATCAAATGTGGCAACTTACTGGTATGGCAGAACAAAGGGAAATCAATGGAGAACACACACACCTTTATCACTTAGTGACTCCTCACCTTGTCAGGTGACCTTCTTCCTGTTTCCCTATCTTAGCTTGGAATTCTTTAACAAGATAAAGGTCAACATAATGTCCATCAAGGACACAGTCTTAATACTCCTGACTTAAAGAGATGCACTAATGGCCTCTCTTAGGTGCATATACAAGTTCACAGCTTGATATGGATCTGTTGGTAGAGTCAGATGGGATTCAGCCATAATAATATTGCACAGTTCATATACATCTGGATCACATGGTATGGTTGAACGAAAGACACATTCATTTTTGCACAGTTGAACGTGTTCCTCTTCAACTGGGCAAAGGAAGTCTCTTGTCCCATAAAGACCAGGAAATGCATACATCACATTGGGCTGACCACTGGGCACGTTCATATTTTTTGATGGCCTGATTGTGTGGGCATTCCAAACCTGTGCGGTGTCATCGAGCTCATCCTGTTTAAAGAAAACAACATTTAGATAGGCAACTGTTCAACATAATACACACACACACACACACACACACACACATACATATGACAGTTCACATGCAAACTTATACAAACAATTAACTCACCTGGATGAGTGCCAGGAAGCAAAATTGGAGGATGCTTTTGTCCAGAAACCCACCATCAAAGAACCCGTTGTTTCTGACGTGTGCAAACAAGGATATCCAGAACTCTGTGCACTGGCTGCGAAGAACCCGCCACCAACATTCAATTCGTTGATTAGCAGTGCTGGCTCCCTCCATGTAAATGTTAAGTGTATCGTCTGGGGCAGTGGAGATGAGGAACCGCTGGATCGCAAAGATATCTCGAGCAGTTTTGCGAGATCTCGAGATATCTTTGCGATAGTTTTGCGGGATCTCGCGATAGTTTTGTGAGATCTCGAGATAGTTGTCGAAATTTTTTTTTTCTCCCATGTCCCCTCCGGGGCTCCGTAAGGTTTCCTCTACAGTTCAGATGTGAAGATTTGGTAACATTTATATGCCCTTAAATGTGAATATGATTACTTGTCGTTGTGCATTAATAAAGTTTTTGTATCCTGTTATCCACCCACTTGCCCTTTGTGGGAAAAAAAACGCACCTATGAATAATGTAATGAAGCGTAGTGGAAGCGCAGGCCGCAGATGGCCTGCATTGGAAATCCAGATCAGACCTGCTTGGGCCACCTCCAGAAGTGGTGAGAACTTACTGCATGAGTTCCACAGCTCTACAAACATCGCAGGAGCTGCTGTCATGTGGCACAGAGTGAATTAGTTTTCAGTGAAAAATATGACAAAAACTAGTAACCTGTTAAATGAAAGACCTCAAAGTAAGTGTTAATTTTTTACATAACTTAAATAGTTAGTTGTTACATAATATTGGTGAAACATTAGATTTTTTTATTTTTTATTATTTTGAAAACAGTTCATTCACTTTCTTTCCTGCAACACTACTGTAACTGACACTGTGCAAGTCTGAGTATTAACACTGACAACGATATTTATGTATTATCTTAATTCTTATGCTGTTTAAGAGGTGTTTAAATTAGTCATGTTTGTAGACTCACACTCAGCAGAAAAACAATTTTAGTTCTGATCAGATGAGAAACAAATGATTTTCCAAATCAAACTCACGTTTTTTGTAAACAAATTAATTCCATATCAGTTTTACTGCAGTTTAGAAAAGCTGAAGTAGAAGGAGTTACCACAGCAGCCACACGCTGCTGCATTAGAAACACTGAAACCACACTTCTTGACCACGTGTGACTTTTTATTTCATTGGAAGTGCGACAGTCTTACAAAAGGTTATACATTACCAGTTATATCGATGTACACAGGTTCCAGCAATATGCTTTGGTTAAATGCTTTAATGTGTTCAGCACTTTGGTGACTCGTTCGAGGCTCTCTTTGATTCGGATTTCACAGTACTGGATTGTGAGAGGTGAGGGGATCGCTGGGGGTCACAAAGGGCTCAAAGCTGCCTGTTCTCTAAAAGTTTCTCTAGAGCCATTTGGTTATACCCCCCAAAACCAATACTGTGAGCTGCTCTGTGCATGTGTGTGTGCGTGAGTGTGAGCACAAAGGCACATGTATCAGCATGGGCCTGCCTGCTAACATGCTAATTATCATAGTAAAACTTGTTATTTAAGTGTTTCAGCTGCATAATAGAGTGCAGGTGGGTTTGTGTATGTGCTGAAGGGTCACATATGGAAATAAAACTCAGATTTTAAAAACGGCAAATAAAACATCAAGTTCACATGCTGTAGGTCCCAGAGCAACACTAGCACTTGCTACAGTCTTACATTTGGGAATTAACATTTACAGAAATGACACAGGGAATCATACAATGGCAGCTGTTTGAGATAACAAAGACAGAGAATGTGAGACTAGTTTTGTGATAAACCAAAGCTCAATGCAGTTTGTATTTAAATTTTTGATAAAGAAATATACTTCTCAGATGCAGGTAATGTAGTATCACCTCTTTCTGTTTTTTTTTTTACATCATTAGGTTAATTCTGTGGTCACAGTTAAGACGTGTGTGACTTCTCCAGACAGTGAAATAACTAAAACGGCTGTTCTGCACATTATACACATTATAAGACATGAGACAGGACATTATGTACACTGGGAGATACAAAAGCCTGTCATGAGTATTGTCTTTTTTTGCTGGGTAAGGACCTGCTATGATTATATAAAATAGGAAGTTTTTTTTCACTGCCAGGTCAAGGATGCTTGTTTTCATTGATGAGTGTGATTTCTTTTACTGTTTCACCTCCAACAATACTTTATGCTGATGGTGCACGATCTTTATCGCCCAGGCGCCTGTTTGTACAGCACAAAAAGAGAGGATTTGGCCTGAGGTTGCTGCTGTAGTTCATTCTCTGACAGGGCAAAATGACCCCTGCTCTCTTCCATGAACAACTGATATCACAGAACAATGTTTTACTTAGAGGCTACAAAACAGTTTACAATGAAGAGAAGCAGAGTCACACTGAAAAATATACATAGATGGGGTGTTATGAGGGCTAAAGGCCTTGCACAGAGGCTTAACCTCTGAATGTGCTCTTCTCAACCTGAAAACTGACCTTTCTTCTTCTTCTTAAAGAGTTGTATACCTGTAAATGTACCTACGCATAATCATGCGATTTGTCTATGCAAGAGCTCTCTCATTTGCAGCCACATGCTGCATTTGTAGTATGTAGCTGTTGAATGGGAATGAACGTCAGTGGCTAACTACAGTGAAATTAGTGATGTGCAGACACACGAGTATAGTATAATAGTCTTTCTCTATCTCTCTATCAACTCAAGCCCCATGTAAAAATGTCTAAATGATTAAAACCTTTTCAATAGAAAAACATGTTTCTAAAAACTGAACATGGATTTTCATCAAGTAAAAATGCCACCCATTTGTCCATTTGACATTTCTAAATAAAAGAATACACTTAATAAAAAAAACCTATTCCTCCCTTCTTTAGCTTCTACTTTTTATATTTTATTTTTAGCACAAACACTGAGATTTTTTTTTTTTTGCTTGTGTTTATAGGTATAATCGATCCCTGTTGATTCTGTTTTTCAAGAGTGTGCATAGTCTTGAGTCAGTTGTTTGTGCGCTCTCTCTCTCCTGTGTGTGAGCATCTACTCTCTCTCACAGGTTCATACCATGAGGTCGTCTGGCCTGGTCCTGCTGCTGCCTTTGCTCAGTCGACTCAGAGGCCTGGTGTCTTCTGTCGTATCCATGGCCTTCATGTCTGCCTCCGCTGGAGTTACCCTCTCCTCATTCACCACCTCTTCTGCCCTCTCTGCTTCTGCCTCTGCTGGTTGCACCTCCTTGGCTTCCTCTTCATATAATGTCACCCTCCCTGTCTCAGTTGTTGGAGTGTAGGAGGGCAGAGTTTCATCATACTCCTTAGAGATGTTCTCCATGGGTAACACCTCCTCCACCCTTTCCACTAGTCCCAGGAAAGGTGGGGTCCCTCTGCCAGCCTCCATGCTCACCTCGGCCAGCGGATAGAGGTGAGTTACAGGTGGAGTTTTCTCCTCTTCTAGCAACCTGTAGCCTTTCGCTCTCTGCAGGGAGGGCACAGCCAGAGTCCCTGTGGTGGCAAGGGGACTGACCCCTCACCTTGGGCTGGGGCTAGGGCTGGCTTGCGAAACACAAAACTAATCTTCTTCAGGCCCAGGTGACTGATCTCCACAAAGTTGAGGAAGAGTGAGACACAAGCCACAGCCAACATAAAGACAATGAAGACGGTCTTCTCCGTGGGGCGAGACACAAAGCAGAGCTGTGTGGGGGCAGGCCCAACGGCTACATTTGAACAGTGGCAGAATGTGGAAGCCATACAAGAAGTACTGGCCCACCACAAAACCCACCTCAAACAAGGTCTTGAAAATAATGTGGCAGATGTAGGTCCTGAGCAGAGTGCCCTCCAGCCGGAACTTCTTGCTTCCTTTTGTGCTTGTCTCCTTAGTGGTGCGGACACTTCCCTGGTCAGGTGCCAGAGGGAGACGCTCCTCGTTCAGCTCCTGCTGCCGGCTAAGTTCTGCCTCCTCACGCTCTTTACGTTTCTCCTCCATGTGGACATGATGCACAGCATGGCCAACGTACACCAGTGATGGTGTGGATACAAAGATAATCTGCAGCACCCACAAGCGGATGTGGGAGATAGGGAAGGCCTCGTCATAGCACACGTTCTCACATCCAGGCTGCTGTGTGTTGCACACATAGTCAGACTGCTCATCGCCCCAAACAAACTCTGCCGCTGTGCCAAGGATGAGGATACGAAAGATGAAGAGCACTGTGAGCCACACCCGGCCAATCACTGTAGAGTGCTCATTAACTTCCTCTAAAATATTACCCAGAAAGCTCCAGTCACCCATGATCGGTCCGTAGCACTGTGGAATGAAGGGTGGGGTAGGGAGGGACATGGTGGAGATGGACAGGGAGGGTGGGGTAGGTAGGATGGACAGGGGGAGAGGAATGGAAAGTGCCAAAAGTAAGAAATGTGGAACAGGAAAACTCGAACAAGTCAAAAATAAAACCTAAGACATAATTTAATTCTACTACACATTTGTATTAGAAAACCTGGAGACTTTGAAGAGTCAGGCATTCAAGTTCATTCTGTTTCCAATGAAAGTATCTAAAAAATGATTTCTCAGATACTAAATGAAAACTTTTAGCAACAAATAGATTTAATTGTACTGAAGGCCGCTTGTTCCACATGTGAACTCAAACATTACTAAACGTACAAACCAAAAAAGCTTTTCCTCTTAAATAATTCCATACAACAACTCATCAGTAAAAACCAATAAAGAATTCTCTGTACATGATACGTAGTCCCTTCTTCTGTGATGTACGATATAGCTTAAATGTAACCAAATGGGCAACTTGCCACAGCTGCGGCTCCTGCGATGTTGAGTCCTGTCCTGTTCTCTTGGCACCCAGCAGGGAAAAGTGAACTTTTTTCTGCCCTCTTTCCCACCCTGTCCTTGTCGCTCCACTGAGCAGATGAATGAATCGGCCCTGATGGTTGGTTTTTAGTTTGCTGCAATATTTAAGCTTGGAGCCAGACGGCCTTTATTTGCTGGTGACGCAGGAGACAAAAGGATCAACCGAGCCCAGGACAGAGATGCATGGGGAGTGGCCCTCAGGCGACCACACCAACATGGACGCTGTACCACCAGGGTACCAGGTCCACTGTGCAGCAATCCAGCTCCATGCATGCAGCGTCCTCACCCTTGCATACTGGGAGCACTGATGTGCCTGTGGCTATACTGCCAACCCTAATGTTAGAGCAGAGAGGCAAGTCAGTGAAAAACTACAGGCTAGGCCAGGGGTGAGTTTATGTCCTTATGCATTAACACTGGACGTTGTTTAGCTATTCAGCTGAGTCAGCAGCAGCGGGTTAATTTCACTAATGACTAAAGGTTCAAATATGATCAATGGTTTCAGGTGAAACACTGGAAATATTTTTTTTAAATATTGTCCAGCGGAGGTGATGGCTCATTCTTTCTCATTTTATTTAACTGTGTAAATTGGTTTTTATTGTAGTGCCCTACAGTACACACAGCGATGCCCAGCTAGCCTGGCCTTTACAAGCTCCATAGATTAATACAACATAATGTAGGTTTCCAATATATCATACATGCATTTTCAAACAAAAAATAACTGTCTAATCCACGTTTAATAACGTTAACAAAAAGGTGTTCAGACCTTTATGTCTGCAGCAAAATTCCTACTGTAAATCCCTAAGACATTTACTACTGGAGAAATTAAGAGTAGTCAAATTGTTCATCTCATCTTTTTTCAGGCTTTTGAGTCAATGTAAGTGATCTTAAACACAGCAAAACAAAATGATATAAATACAATTACATTTTTGTCTGTGTGTACTGTACATTAAACTTCATTTAGTGTGTGTGTGTGTGTGTGTGTGTGAGATCATATCCGACTCACTTAGTAGGAATGTGAATAATGTGAACCAGTGAGGAGGTCACAGTGAAATGTCAGTATAGGGAGGACAGTCATATTCAGGTCAGGAGAATAGGCTCGATTCTATGGTTAAATCTTAAATTATTTTTATGAAGTTTCTCTGGTGAAGGTTTGAAACAACTACATGGCAGCCAAAAACAAACAGTTTATTAACAGTTAAATAACTTATTTCTCTTTGCACACACACTCTAATTTCCAGGTTTCACAAATGTTTCATGTTCCCAAGACCCAAGATTTTGTCATGTAGTGAAACGAGATGAACAATGGCATTTCCTTTGAAGGCTACTGTACCTGCTGATATCAAGTTGGGACTATCTGTAAACTCATTTCTAATGTATAAGACTGTAATTGTACAGATCTCTATTTTAAATACTCTATTTTTATTCCTATTTATCTCGCTTCACAATGAGTACATGCACATTGAGAGCCACTGCACCAGAGTCACTTTTATGACTTTTTATTAATTAAAAAAACAGCATGCGTTGTTAAATTGTTTTATTTATTATAATCAGTTTCACAGGCTGACAGTATATTACATGATCAAATGTAACAAATACATATCAGTAGTAAAAATCCATTTCAGTAAATTTCATCCCTCCTTGAGCTGTTTCTCCGCTCAACCCATCTCACTACAGCACGCTCTCGCTGTCTCAGTAGCACAGGTCATTGGTGACCGCTTGGCTGATGTCTGCTCCCTGGTCTGTTGGTTAGTGTCAGAGTTGGCTTCTAAAATGAGCTCCCATAGCTTTATAAGAAGGATGATCTAATCTTAGAGCAAAACCCAGAGCGAGTACTGCCATGGTGAATGTCCCCTCATAATTTGCTGCAGTTTCTCTCTAAATAATATGGCACCCAGGAACGTCAGTGTCTACGTTAGCTGAACTATTCTCCATATACCCAGGAGCAGTGATATCATCTTATATAAAAGTGCCCCCAACAAAAAGCTCAGTTACTTGCTCTCCTCTGGACCATGGGTGGCACATGGGCTCAGCCAATTGTGTCAGGCCATGTTCGGAGCTCTGTGGGGGCATCCGGGTGTATCCACTGAGTTGGGGGACCGGGGAACTCCCTTTAAAGAGTTGTGTGTCGGTACAGTGGGTGCTTGCATGCTAAGCACTCCAGTGGGCCTGTGAATGGTGAAAGATATTTCCCAGTTATGCTTAACCAGTGAAACTCAGAGAGACGAGGCGGTCCAAGTGGCTACAAAAAACCATGCTGGTTTATTCAAGGATCACAGGTAAAATTAACATTACACACTCAGGTATCTTGCACCTCCAATACTTCGCGCAGGCAGATGAAGAATGTAAGACCCTGGTTTGGGCTAACCCCATTCTACACAGGCACGTCAAACCGTGGCGTCACCTGATATGCCAGCTTTACAGCTGACCGTAGCAGTAGTCAAAACATGGAGAAAATCAATGTGTGTGAGTGTTGATTAAGTGGTGTGTATCTAAGAACATACAGGACATTCAGGGACATGTCCGGACATTAAGCCTAGGAAGATATTATGTTTGAGACTACGGCTAAACATATCATAATAATAATAATAATCCTCCTGCCTGCTGACAATCAAACCTTTCTATCTAGTTATCCTTGCCCATGTACACCCTGCTAAAATCTCATGACAATGACTAAGCGTTTAAACAGTCTAACTAGACATCCTGTCTCCACTAAAAATTTCTAATACAACAAGTACCTAACCAATACCTATCTGACTAAAAAATACCTAACAATGGCATCGGGATTCTAGACAAAGACATGATGTCATGATGTAGGGTACAGACATTATTGAGCATGTGCAGTGAGGTGTGAGGCCAGATTAGACCTCCGAGCAGGGCACCAACTGACCGTTAATCAGCATGCTAACATGCTAACTAGCATACAGTATCATACGGCAGGCTTCCTGTTGCAGAAGGTTTGAAAAACAGGAAGTAACAAAAATCTTACTTTGTATCTACCTTATCAATGTAATGCAACTGAAGACATGTAATTTCATCTAACAATATTGTGGCGACCCTGACCGTTCGTGTGTTCTGTTGTGTGCAAAGTGGGTTGACACTGTTGTGAAAACTGTTGCATGTATTGGTTACCGCCGTTGTCTGCAAAATGCCGCGCTGTTCTGGCCAATGTGGGATGGGGGGAGGAACAGGTGCAGGAGGAGATAAGAGGGATGACAGTTGGGCGTGTTGTTTTAGATTCTGTTGGCGCGGGATACGGGATGCCCAGGAGGGAGAGTGACGTTACCGTTTGTCCTGTTTATTTTTTTATTCATTGTTTTCCTGATGTGCCAGGTAAACCGCAGTTCTGTTGTTGTATTCTCTGTTCTAATAAAATCCAAAAAGACAACGAAGGTGTTCTCCTCACTGTCAGCGTAGGTGCTAGCGCATAGCTGGCTAGTTAGCTGTTTCAGTGTAGGACAGGCTCGGCCAGCTCCTCTCAACCTAGCTAGCGGTCGTCACA